TCCATTTTCACGAAGAAGAAACTAAGAACTACTGTTTATCTTAAAGCTTATCAGTTCCATTCTTTTTAATTGTAAGTCCTATTCATTTTTTCACAAATTTCATTTCTTTTTCTATTTGCTTAACATAAATACCGCCAGCGCAGGCTAGTAAATTCTACGTTTCACTTTTTCAAACCGATTTTGTAGGTAATGTAAAATAGATAAAACTTATGTATTTAGATGCATAAGATTCTGTGGTTATCAAAATTAATTCTAAAAAGCGGACTAAGAATTTTTTTACCTTTTTTTATTTTAGCATTTTATTTCTGGCACGTTTTTGTTTCCGATTTTTACAAAAAAAAAATGTGAGACGTAAATAGTAGTTCAAAATTCGAAAATCTTTTAAACAAAACAAATGAACTCCGAAGATACTCATTCTAAACGCTACAACTATTGTATTTGTATTATTAGTAAATATTAAAATCTAAGAAATATTTATACGCAGTTTGTATGTCATTTAATCTTTATTGGTTTAAAAATTGAAAAAATGGCCTCGCCATGTACCGCTATTGACAAAAAAGTACATTTAAATTTATATTGATTTTTTGCCCTACTCTGCGCATGAAAATATGATGGTAATCATTCTATGATATTATTGCTACCTCTATAATTTCTTCAATAATAATAATAAAATTTAAAACTTCAGGTGTTTTTATGATCTCCCTGGACATCTCTATTATTACTTTCTTGGAGTTATCTCACATTTGCATTGAGTATTAGGTAAATGATTTTTTAATTAGGAGCATATCATTTTTTGTGTCACATTCATGTTACGGGAATCTTTTTTGTCTAACTGATTAATTGATTAATTCAAATTTGTGGATATCAATTAAATGTAATAATGGCGGTTCTGGACATTGTACACTCTCTCATCTCAAGTAGGTTTACATCACGTTGTTTGTATACTGGAACAATTTGACTTTCTATAGTAATGAACTGAAGGTGAATAGTCGAAATAAAGACCTTGTTTTTCTAAACACTTGGTATTTATTTCGTGCTTTCCCCCGTTTATCTAGTGGCAATCGGTTCGTGGCAATGACCCCTTGATAAACAAAATTTATCATTCGGTGTGTCCATATCATTGCGGCATTGCCTCCCTACGTCTCCGCGGTAAATTTGTTTTGTCGTTATTTTCGAATAATAAGATACAACCAGGGACTTGTCCAAAACACACAAATATGCCAGGACATAATAATATTCGCGGCGTTTGTCATTACCCCGGGACAGACGTGCCAAATAAATATTGGATAAACAGTGGAAAAAAAATTAATGCCATCACATAATTTGGCACACGAATCGGCCCGTGAGTCACGCTCTTTGAAGTTTTAAAGGTGCAGATTTGGCCAAGATTTTTCATTTGTTCTAAAGCAGCTCGTGTCGAAACACCGTGCGCGACTATACCCAGACTTGTTTTTCTATCAAGGCCGCAGACTTATCCCGTAAGTACTTGAACGGTTTTGGAAATTTTTGTAAGATTTTGGCATCGACCTTATTATTACCATACGGCCGATCGTTCGGCAGATGCAAAATATTTAGTTCACGTCACGGTGTTTGTAATACGTTAGGTATTTCCACGTTTGACGTCAGCGTGAAAAGTTTACGAGTATATGTGCTTGTTCTATTTAAAACGTTATCGGTTTTCAATGTTGGCTTCAGTTAGTTTTTCACATATTGTGGTGGAATCCTCACGTGTCATCGATCAGAGTTGCTGGACGGTCTCGTTATCGCGACGCGACAGTCTGCATGTATCGGGTGGTTCAGTATCATAGAGTTTCTTCGTAAAATACATTAGATTAATGTGTTGTGTTCAGGATATGTTTGAGGTAATGCATATTTATTTACGAATCGAGCCCAAAAAGGTCGAAGGTAGTCTCAAATGGCATACGTCTTACTGCTACCGTCGTATATTTTATCTCCCAACTGTTTTCCGCTCTTAAGTCGCATTTTTTATCAATACCGAAATGCCCCCTAATAATTAAAAACTTTTTCAATAATCCGGAAACAGAATTCTGGCTTTTATTTGTGCATAATGCTGCCGCACTTTTCCAAGTTTACTCTTATACCAGATCAAGAAATATGGGCATTAGAATATCAAAAAACTCAAGTGCAATGTTGAAGCTAGAAAAGAGGAATGCTTCGTTTCTCTCATTTAAAAAAAAAATATGCTCCAGACAAATGAATTAAGCACAAGTCGTTATTCCATAGAAACAACTTGACCTTTTACTTGACGGCCGTGGAATATCTCTCACAATGGAAAACTCCATCTTCTCAAATGTTGGATTTAAATGGGTATTACTTCAAAACATATCCGCTTTAAAAACTATTTTATTGTATAATGAAACATTAATAAATGAAGATGAACTATTTGACGAAATATCTTTAATAAACTAATTTGTAACCAATGAGAAGTTGGAAGATTGGCAAAAAGCGACTGGGTAAAGAACATATCTTTCATAGTTGAGTTTGCACTTTGCCCACCCAGTACAAATTCAGACAGAAAGAACGTTTTCAAGTATAAACAACTTTTAAAAATTCCTAAAAAAAATAGGTGCTTTTAAAAAAGATATTATTTTTTTTCTAATAAACCTAAACAGGTATATTTTTTGTTTTATTTTTACATGAATTATCAGGAGGGGAGGTGGATGTAAGCGTCTTGGATTCATCTTTGTCGAAGTTATTCACCTTGATAAAAGTCAACGTCTTCTATACATAAATATTATTGTTGTAACTACCAGATCTCCCCACCCAAATGAATTGGGAACTGATAATGAATAAAAAAAAACTTGGCATTAGTAGAAGTAGAAGGAATGGCTAAGTTCTATAATCTTCGTCCCTTGGGAAGATTAAGTATTATATATCTAAAATGCTATACCCTACATTTTCATCTGCATTTTTATAACAGCCATGTTGAAATATTTGACAGTTTTAATTGGTATTTGCAAACCATTTTTATCTCGACTTCAATTACAAAACAAATTTCCAACAGTATCAAGTTTAGGGGTATCAGTTGAGATTTAACTTTTTTCCACGATGTTGCCAGTTCTCGCACCTCGTAGCCGAGTAATACGCGATTCTAGGCCAGTTTCATTATAATTTACAGGCTTTTGACGTAGATTACATTTCGACAAACGTTCGAGATGAGAAAAGTTGTGTTTTATTTTAGATAGGGGTAGAAAAATTACTAATATTATCAGTTAACGTGTTGATACTGTTGGTATATTTGAAGATATTGTGTTGAGGTCACACGTTATCGCTGTTATTTTCCATTAACTCAATAATGTATTTTTAAAACAAAAAGATGCGGTTTGTTGGTTGCTGTAGTAGTATTCTGTTGCGTTGCCTTCAAGCTTACTATAGTTTACTTAGTAAGTATCTTATAGTTAAGTCTGAATTTTCTAAAATTTACAGTATTTTTCTTCATTATCAGCGACAATTAGGCAATCTATTGGTCTTTAAATCTTATCTGTAAAAATTGATATTTTAAGCACAAACAAACAATAGTGTAACTTTTTTCGTCAAAATCATACCTGAAGTTGTTTTAGTAATTACACATTTCAACTTGTACTCCCTTAGGAGATGTCGGAAAATTAAAAGAATTACTGAAATATATAAAGGCTGTCCCCATAAAACATACTCGGTTGTTCTCTTTGTTGATGGTTAAGCAGAGAGAAGAAATTTAAAATAGAATGCAGCTGCATTATAATCTAAAATAATTTTCATTTTCTCAGAAATATGTAATATTTGTTGTTTTTAATAAAGAGGAGTGACAGAAATGTACTGCCTAATACTTTTATATTTCACATTCTTAACATCATATACTTTCCGCTACGTCAAACCTTCGAGATATTCGTATTGCATTTTCTGAAGACTTCAACCGACAACATGTATAACACCTCGTTGCAAACCTATATGAAGGAACGGACTTCTTAGTTTCGTATCGCTCCCAGAAAAGCAATACCCCAGACAATCGGCAATTCTGCAGCCTCCAGATCGGTATCCAGCAAAGATTCAAGTCTGACGAAGTAGTCTTGCGTAGACAGACGATCAATATCACGCAGCGGGAGGATAAGTGGAAGTTAAAACTGGGTCACACCCAAATGTTGCGGGTGGATGTTGCCAGCACGTGCGACAACTTTTGTCTTCCTTATTTTTTTGTGCATAAGACGCGAAAATTTATTTAGGTTAATGAATAAAAGACCATGGGTTGTTTAGGCGTTAGTGTCTGAGGCTCCCAAGTTTTTTTGTCTTAGCTTTCCTAGTTTGAGATTTAACCAATATAATAAGACATTACAAGCATTAATTATTCTATTTTTAACTATATTCTACAAATTTTGGATACATATAATTAAATATCAAACAAAGAAAAATATCAAATTCATCTGTATAGAAGGTTTTAAGTAAAATAAAATTAAACTTTCAAAACATCTATGCAGACTATTATTTATTTTTTATTCATCGCAACATGAAATAAAAAGCAAACTCTTGAACTTGGGGCTACTATTCCTGTAAAAATGAAGTGTTCGATTGTGATTCGTGGTCCAGTTTAAGTTATGAAAATGTAGGTGTACAACAGTCACTGACGTTATCGCCTTTATCGACTCGATCTATATTTTTACTCAGCTATCTTTATGCACGCCTATTTTTAACGCCAACCTTTATAACCTTTCTCATATAAAAATAGCAAGCGGATTGATTTTATCAGTATGAGTAATTGCATTAAAATTCACTTGTAATTCTTTTAATGATTTTTTAAAATTATTCTTCCTGCAAGATCGGTCAACTGTAATTGTGCGTGCAATAAGAAATAAATGCTAAATTATAATTGAAAATATTTATAATATAAATCGCAAATGGCCATTGCGACAATTTAAGAGGGCCCCTAAAAAAATGGAAATGTCACACAAAAATCATTCAAATTACATAGACGCTTGTAGTTACATAAAGATTTTGTTTTGTTGCAGATCACGTACCTTAATTTCGAAGAAGAGTAGAAGAAACAAAATCAATCTCGTCGAGACTTCAATGCTTAACTAAAGTCTTTAACGAAATCGGAGGAAAGACAAAAAGCAAAAAAAAAAGTGAAAGAATCATCGCCAAAATGCATATAGAAGTACAAGTAGCGCTGAACTTCGTAATATCGTATCTGTATAATAAACTCCCTAGGAGACGCGTGAACATATTCGGCGAAGAGTTGGAAAAAGCTTTAAAAGACAAATTCCAGGGACATTGGTATCCCGATAAACCGTTCAAAGGATCGGCCTTCAGGTGTTTAAAAACGGGCGATCCTATCGATAAGGTGCTAGAAAGAGCAGCCCGCGAAAGCGGAGTGCCGATCCAGGATATCCTGGAAAATCTGCCGCAAGAACTGGCCGTATGGGTCGATCCCGGTGAAGTTAGTTACCGCATCGGCGAAAAGGGGGCTGTGAAAATCCTGTTCAGCGACAAAATTGACCCGCAGGAGGATCATTCTGCTGACAGAGAGGTAACGAAGACTTTTAACCCTGAGGCCCAATGCTTCAGACCAATTGAATCTGTGAGCTGCAGCTTAAACAATTTGAGCCTGTCGCCAAAATCTATAACGCCATTTTCTGGAAACAATCAAGGAAACGCTGTCGGTTCACAGTTGCAGGCCAACGCGGTACAGCAGAACGGTAACCAACCGATACCTAACAATCAACATATGCCGTCTCCATCGTCGGCACCTTCACCCACATCCATGGGCAATTCCTTTAAGGGTTCCCCTTCGCCCGTACCAGCATTCATACCTCGAACAACAACACCGCTTACATTCACCACCGCAACGTTTGCTCAAACCAAGTTCGGGAGCACCAAGCTAAAAACCAGCAGCAAGAGAGCGAACAGGTAAGTCTTTATTACATTAATTGAACTAATTAATATACTTCCGATCAACTGAGGTTAGAGACTTACTTGAACTATTTGACTATTACTGTCATTTGCCTTTCCATTTGATGGACGTAAATGGCGTTTTTACGTTAAATTTGACATGACGTCGCAAGGGCGTTTCTGACATGATAAATTTTACATAAAATGGCACATGTTAGCTGAAAACTGAAATTGAGGAACTATGGGCGGCCATCACGTTCCACCCAAACTATATGGCAAACTGACACACTACAGTTTGTCAAAAGTGACAACGACACACAACGGATGGTGTCCAACATAAGACCTTTTTAGAAAAAGTCACTAAAGACATATTTTCTATTTTTAAGTATGGTGCTGCCATCTATTTAATAAAACAGGATATACAGTTCTGTCATTTTTAAATTTAACTTTCAGTTACGTCGTGCAACAAATTATTTGAAAAAAATGATATGTGATATATGAAAAGGATATTTTCCTCAACTATTTTATATCTGATAAGGAGAAATACAATAAATTAAATATATTTTTTAATAACTGTCGTCACACGATGTAATTTAAATGTGTACATGCTATAAACCTGTTTTAAGCTACTGCACAAATAAAATTTTTTATATAAACTATTAATAAATATTATATATTACATGTATATATTTGCTCTTGGCTCTTGCGGATTTTAAACTTGCCGTGCCCATTGTACAGAGAAAACTGGGAAGCTCACAATAATCCATAAACCATAAAACGAAATCAAAAGATAAGAACCGAAAATTTAACTGTCTGAGCGCAACTTAATTTGAATCACAGAAATAATGTGACAAACAAAATTTATGTATCAAAATTCAAAACGACGCAAATCTTCAAAACGGCCTTAAGTGTCACCTCGAGGTTGTCTAAAAACGCATTTACATGGGCAAAAAGTTTCTCATTTATTTTGGATGGTATGTAGCGGGCATGTTGGATCGTTGAAGGCGGCAAGGTGCTATTAGTTAAGCGATAGCGTGTCAATACTCAAGAGAACAAATGGTTGAGCTTATTTTTCCGTATTGGTATAATTCTTTATAGTAACAGATTTTTTTCAATGCATAAAATTAAATTAACTCACCGAAAACACAAACAACAGTGATTTGACAATGACGTTTATATACTACAATTTATTCCAAGCAACTGGATTTGTATCTTCAAAAATTGCTATTTGATTATTGTTATTTAATTATTTTAATCAACCTGACAAGAAAAACTTTCATACAGAAATGACTTAACGATCTGAAGGACATATTCACGTGAAAAAAATGTCACTAGTTTACTTTTTTTTTCTTGAAATAAAGACGCCTCTTTCTGCCCAGAACGCATTTACCACATTTCAGAAAGATATGCAGTTCTTTTCTTAAGATGAAACCAATTTTTTTTCAAAGAAACTTCCACAGACTACTGTAATACTTTGCTGAGTCGAACTTGCTTCTTGCTTCTGAAACTGAAACAGTTTCAGTCAAGCTCTGACTAAGCCAACAGGATGATTGGCGAAACGTCAGCAAGTTCGACCCAGCAAAAACCGACGCAGGAGGAATCCAGAAGTTTTGTAAAAAGTATTGATGAATCCAATAATTATTGACACACCATAAAGAACACTCAGTCTATCTAGTAGATAAATATGAATCCAACCAATGTCATTTTCCTTTAATGTTTTAACCCTCGAAGACTTACCCTTAGTGATATTATTTAATAAGTTATTTATATCGACCAGCTATATGCCTTTTTAAAATACCCATCAAACCAATGTATCGCGTTATCAAATATTGGGCTAACGACTAGTATCAACTTAGACCCCGTTATTTTGCAGTGTTACCAGTGGAAATGCCTTATAAAAATATTACACTCTGGACAATGTCAATTTAAACTTATCGTAAAACCTCTACACCATCCTACGCTTACATTGAAAAGAGCCATTGTCTTCGTTTCAGAATGTCGCCAACCGAATTCTCAAACTACATCAAGCAACGCGCCATGCAACAGCAACTGCACCAACAGCCCCCCCATCATTCCCCCGGCGGCAGGGCTCTCTCCCCCGACCCCTCCGCATTCTATTTCCCGCCCCACGGACACTACCCTCCGCAGTTTCCGCCCCGATCAGTTTTCGAGTCTTCCAACCAATTCCTCAGCCCCGATCTGTACCCCACCGGCAAACTGCCGTTCGAGCCCTCCCCTCTCGGACCATATTACCCGAACAACGGGGGCGTAAGTGTTACCCCATCCACACCAAACACACCACAAGACAACGGAAAGCTGATGGACAACAATTGGCCGTACGCGGCTTCCGGTCAGTATCAGCACCTCTTGGTGGCCAACTGAGGCTCCTCATAGGCTAAGGATCTTTCCAAAAAGGGTACACACTTACAGCCTAGCGATTCTATTGTCTTCTTTCTCGGTCACGGTTCTGTTTCAAAGAACACCACACCAGATAGAGCTCTATGAGTATATAGGGATACGACAACCAAAGATTGATCTTAACAAGAATTGCTGGCGATTCTATGACTCGTTTCGTTTGGGGTAGCGTTGCACTGTGTCTTTTACGTTTTAGTCCTTGTTTTATTTTAATATTTTGCTCCTTTTGCAGTTAACGCGATAAAATCGGGGTTTCGGCTAAAAGTGAAACACGTTTGCGATTTTTTACCTTCGACTTGCATCATTCTTTAGTCCAGGGTTAGTGTTATCGGAATTTTACGAACTTGAAAGCACGCTTCATTGCGCAAATTTGTCTCGGCCGGGTAGCATTGCCTCTCCGATATTCTAACAAGCTTTTTCATAGCGCAAAATCATTAAGGCTTAATAACGACGCTGACCTTAGACATTTAATTGAGGACCGCGTCACAGCTAACAGTTTTAAACAATCCAATTGTAACAATTCCGCTTACCATCTCGTTTAATTATTTGTTTCGCAGCGTTCAAAATTTGCCAAACAAATTGAAGTGTTTCATTTTTGGTTGAAATGACTTTTGAGCAAACAAACACCTGAGAATAAGGACTGAAACTGTTGCTTTCGGTAACCTGGATTTATAAAATAAGACAAGGAAGAGAAGCGACCCGTGCAAACTTTTTATACTCGGATCATCTTTTGTTGGTGGAATATCCTTAGTTTTATAAACAGTTCCTAATTTTTAATTTTATACTTGCTTAAAAATTAATTTTTGTAGCGTAACAAAAAATGAGTAAATTGTAAATAAGTAGTGATAAGTTTTTTGAATAAAGTTCCAGAGTAAACGTATGGAACAGTGATCTCTCTAATGTTAAAATAATTTGTAAATATGTAACTTATATTATTTATACATACATATAAATATTTTTGTAGCAAAAACTAGTATTTTCACCGACGAGTCCGTTACAATGAGAGACGAAATATATTTTTCTTAAAAACTTTTAACTTTCTTATGAATTCGGTTGTTAGTGAGATGCCCTGTTGTTCTATAGAATATCAGTTTGTGAATTGATTTCCCTTGCAGCGCACGTTGCTTGTTAAATCGAAAAAGACGGTAGAATCGCTTCAATTGAACCATAAACTTATATATATATACATATAAAAAAAAGATCCCAGCTTGATATACTTTTTAGATTTTTATAAAAGTAGGTCGTAGACTTTATAGATGTTTCTTACTTTATATATGGTGTTTACAGTATTCATGTAGATTAGAGTGTTTTTCCTAAAACTTTTATATTGTATATGTATTTTTTTATTTTTGTATAAGAAGCTCAAGCTGTCGTCTAGTCCCATAAACTCGTTCTACATGTATTCAATAAGTGTTGGCATATCATGTTCGGGGTCACATTCTGAAAACAAAACGATAAGGACGAAGCCAAGTTCATGACTACTTTTGCGTTTTGCTATTATCGTGAAATACGGACGAAAGTTCCCCGCGTCGACGCAATATGATCTGTTTTAGGATTGTGATATTCTTTTATCTATTTTTATAAAAAAAAAAACGCAAACGTGGTCCCAAAACGCGCATGCGTGCATGAACGCGGCTTTAGTATTTCAGTATTGCATGATGCTACTACCCAGTGGGTTCTAGATGCTTCCTTTTTGAATTTAAGAGATATGCAATTTTTTACTGCTTGATTTTTTTTGTTACTTTTTCACCGATTTTATTTTTTATTTGTATGACTTGTTGAATTTTAATGATAATATATATTTTGTTATGAGCTGTTGGTTTCATTGCACTTCTTTTTGTCTTGCGTACCTGACGTTGTAATGATATCATTCTAGATCAATTGCTATTTTTTACATACTACTAGCGAATGTGTTGTTGATGTTGAATAGTCTACAAGTTCTTTTCAACGAAAAAAATCAAAATTTCTCTTTAAAAAACGCTTAACCCCCAACGCCGACTTTTACAGTTTCACCGCCAAAATATGTTCAGTTCTCCATTGATAATAACAAAACGCCAGTTCACAATTAATTTGTTTAGATACTGTTTTATAGAGTGATTCATTAATAAATAATGTATTTAAATTGTAGAATCCTGAGCTCAGATAATAATATTTAACGCAAATCATTTAGATGTGTGGTGTTTTATTAAAAAGTAGTACTGGCGGAAAGGTTAGCGACTTCAAACTCTAATAGACTATGCTAAACAACGTTTCTGGCTAGGAGACGGGTAAGTGGTTGGTTGACCGCCCCATATTTTACGCCACTGACGGAGTTGCCATATTAGTACATTTTTTGATGCTCTAATTCTTTATCTCTATATCACATACTTTTCCCTTTCAACGATAAAAAGATTATTTTTCGAGATACTTAAAGCTGCACAATTACATTGGTTTCAATGCTTACAGAGTTTATCAGAGTTTTTTAGCCTTAATATTGCAAAATAATCCGAATTGTGATCTAAAAATAACTATTTTAATGCAATGTAAATGAAAGGGTGTTTGCAATAACACAATGTTAAAATTTTGAGCACAGGATTCTCAATAAAATAAAGCTAATTATTAACGAATCATCCTGTATATAGGGATAATTGTCTGAGGTATTTTGTTATAGTAATTTTTTCATCATGAACTTGTTATTGGGACCCTCAGTTTTAGCCATTAAACAAAATAAAATTTAAAAACATCAGAACTTCCTTCATATTGCGTTTGATCAATTGATGTGAAAGAAAAAGGCACTTTCCATTGTTCAATGATCACAAACAACTCAATATTGTTCACTTTTAAATTTGAAAGCTAAAAACTGGTCGTTAAAAATGTTACTGGGCAGCAGTAAAAATGTTATTTAATATTTTATGCCACTTAAATGAAATACAATTGTCGTGCATATCTAAAGTTATAAATAATACAATTTCGATGCACAATAAATTCTGATAATCTTTTTAACGATGTATTCTAGCGGGATTTATAATTTACCACGAAAATTTATTGTGCTAAACGATTACGCTTAACCGTGTGAAATTTGTAAAAGATCTGTCGTTGAGGAATTCTCAAATAAGGATTGAATCTCTGCTGGGCGAGATTTTTTTTGGTTGCGGACATCAATATTATTGTTAAACACCATTCAAAATTTCGTTGAGCAGTTGTAAGGTTATTCCAAAATAAATGTGATTGATATGCTTTAGATCGTTTCCGAGTGATTAGGAAAATTGTGAATTGGACAAGTATAGGTAATAACTAGGAAATAAAGTGAGGCAAAAAATGGCACGTGTGTAGCATGGATACATACAATGCATGTTTGTAGCTAGAAGAATAAAATGCCAGATTGAACGTTCCTATAAGGAACTCCGCTAGCTAGTGCTATACTCTGAGCACATAAAATTAGATGCGAGAGAGTTGAGATGTGACATTCAAAAAAAGTGCAAAGCTCCAATTTTTTTTTATTTTGAAGTTAAGCAAATAAAAGTTCAGAATTCTAAGAGTTAAATATTGTAACAGTAGTGATGGCAAAATTCCACTTTACAACTTGAATGTCAGATTCTTCAAACTGCCTCAGCATTCGTCAAAATTGACGCGTGATTTTAGAAAAAGAGGTCTAGATAGGTTCACGCCTTCTGATAACGGGTGGTACGGACAAGCACAGAAAACTCGTTACCTGAATGTCTCTGGTTTGGTGCAAAAGTACTTTGATATTTTTTTCGAGAATGTTTACCGATTAAAATTTTTTTCAAAAAAAATACTAAAATACTACCTATCCAACCAGTCGCAGGCTACAAAATGTACATGATTCTTAGTAATTACTCTTAATAGATTAACTCAATTATTTTATATACTTGCTTGTATGTATTTCGCATTATGTACTAAAGTGTGTATATAAAATAACCCATAGAATTTTGTGGTTTATATAAAAATATGTGTATCCCTGTAACCGAGTATCTTCATTCGGCCATGTGCTGCACGTTTGTTCTAATTTTGAGTGTTGGTTCATTTCCCGAAATGGTGATGTAGGTCCAACGAAGCAAGAAATTTACCATTCAGTTTGCTTATGTCTTAGAGGAAATTTTTTTCGTGAGTTCATGGTCCTAATTTTTTTTAACTAATCTAAGAACCAAAACCAAAAATTCATTGATGATTAGTAAATGGCGGAGTTTAGCTAAATCATTAGGTTTAATTCGGTTTTAGTATGATAAATACTTATTCGTTTGTCTTCGACCTGAGAATATTTAAATCGCTGACTGACCAGCGAATAATGTTATGATTATATATTATATATACCTTCGGCTCTACAAACGAATCAGCATTTAGTACGAATATATAAGCATTGCCAATCTTGACAATTCTACAGACAAACACGCATTACTAATCTAACATTGGTTACAACCTTTTCTTCTATGTTAACCTAATATTTTACACCCAAACGGAATCTCTGTAGTTGTGCAGGGAATAGTCGAACGGTTTTTATATGTTGAGCACTGAAGAAATGTTAATTTGATAAGTTAAACGAATACGGAATAACTCTTGAATGGGACTGGCGCCCAGAAGGAATGTGATGGGTCCTTTCTACTATCGTAGCAAAAAATAAACTAGGGTGTAGATAGAGATGCCTTGTGACGGGCAAAAGATCCCAAATTATAAGGAAATGGGCCTATTATATGTATGTATGTCACAATTTGTGTTAGTTTGTTACATCTCTTTACTGAAGAATCGTAATTCGTAGTTTACCACCTTAACTATAATATTATTCAATATGTATTTATAGTGAGAACGGTTTTTCCATCCCGTTATAAAATAAGTAAGAATATGTGTATAATAATAGTCTATAATTTTTCATATTGTTGTACGATTTTTAAGTTTATATTAAAATGTTTGTGCATTAATATCTAGTAGTTTTATTTTATATTTTTATATATATCAAAATATTTTTTTTTAGTGAAGTGAAGAGAAGAAGTTACCAAATATTTTTCCAAATTTTCAAATAAGAAATGAAATTATTTTCATGTTTTTTGCTGAATAAGAGCATTTAAAAATACTTAGATCTTCAAGGTACAATAATATATAATAATCTCGTTTTGTTAAAATGTTCACTAACAAGATTCTAGAATTAAAAAGTGCAATTGACAATAAAATAATTCAAATTCGTTTCAAAATTTGACATGAAATTTAAAAACAAGACACGCCTGCTAGAAAAGTATAGATAAAATGCTGTCACAACTGACTGAAACATATCTTTTCCACAAACCGATACTGGCATTTTTCGAAATTAGGTTAAAATATTTAAATTATACCCATTAAGAAATTTTTCAAAATGAAGAAAGTTAATTTACAAAAGGTAAGTATGAATAGAACCTTTTGAGACACCATGTATAATTGAAAACAAAAATGGTTCATTCCTTTCATGATTCGGCTAGAAACATTAAAGTAAAAGACTAAAAGTACACCTATTAAGAATTCTTAAAAATGAAGGAAATTAATTCACAAAACGCAAATATGAACAGAACCTTTTAAGACACGCTGTTCAATTCAAAAAAAAATGTTTCATTCCTTCCATGAATCCGATAGAAATGCTAAAGTAAAAGAATAAAAGTATACCTATTAAGGAATCTTAAAAATGGAGGAAATTAATTCCCAAAACGTAAGTATGAACCGAGCCTTTTGAGATACCCTGTTCAATTCCAAAGAAAAATGTCTCATTCCTTCCATGAACCCGCTAAAAATATTAAAATAAAAGATTTCTTCAAAATCAAGGAAATTCATTTTTATTCCATTTTTAATTCACAAAGGATAAGTTTTTTAAATTTTTTCGAAGCTCGAACCGTAAAATATGGATTATATCATTACGCTAGCAAAAAGTAAACATCTAAAGTTTTATCATTACTTCCAGTAAGATTCAGCCATCCACTGCGAACCGCCCTGTATATGGAAGCAGTTTATTCAACGTTGTTATTCTTTATCTCTTTTACAGTTATTGGGAATAGAACCTTAAATCAATACCAAACTCATCAAATTTTATTTTCACAAACCATTGTACTCACGTTTTTGTTTGCAAAACACGTTGTTAGAATCGTGTAGGGGAAATCTTAATTCTGCTCGGATGAATTTAATCCGAAATACGTTCACCTCCAAAAAAATTCTGATAAGTTGAATAAGATTTTACTGACAGTTGGTAAAAAGTAAACATTTTTGTTGTGTTCTTCTGTTATTTTATTATTTAAAATTTGTCATTATTGCCATCCGATAATAAGAAAATAAAATTGGATAAAAAATGGAAAAAATAAATAAAAAAGTAAAATCGGTTCAACATAGACAGAAAGAATTTTTTACCGGCAAGTGAATATACAAGCAAATCAATCATATTTAATCCAATACAATAGCGTACTTCCAGATATAGTTATAGATGATTAATACAGACCTTTTGTCTATTGCTATAATAAATTAATTGAGAACATCTGACATCGTAAAACTGGGCGTTCTATTTTAAGCAGCCCCGTTTTGTGACTGCTCTCCCCCATAAAACGTGGTATCGATTTTCCCCGTAAAAAATCTTCTAGGTCAAGGGCGAACAAGGCTATTCGAGGCCTAAATCTGAAGCGAGCAGTACCTATTAACGTCAGACCCCTTGCTATACTGAAAATCGCCTAAACATTTTCTGATGATTTTAAAAATACGATAAAAAAAAGGTCACACAAAAATTTCTTAAATTATGAGCTAGATATATTAAGTTCATTTATTTTTATTGTATAACTATTTTAAATCCTTTAAGTCACATTTGTGTATGGTTCTTCTGAAAAAGATATACTAATTTAACGTTTTATTAAAAAATGATATATGGGATGTCCAAAAAGTATGGGAACATTGGAATATCTTCAGAATTACATAACAGATCAAAAAACAATCCAACCCATTGGTATTGAGGTGGTGGCAACTTGAAAATAAATGGAAACCCTAAATTTTTATGCCAGTATAGGATTCTATGCTCTGTCGGTATTTTTTTTTATTCTCGGTAGATGGCGCCGTAAACCCAAAAAAGAAAAAAGGTTATCGCAAGAAATATATGGGTCAATGTTATAAATCCGAGTTCAGGGTTATGATACCTTCGTTTTTAACATATTTTTCCTAATATGTTTGAAGAGGTTTATAAACGGTACATAAACGATGATCCAAAAAAGTTTATAAATACCTGGTGCATACTATGCTTTTTCTTCGCGCAAGTCACTTTTTGGGTACATTTTTCAAAACGCGTGATGTTCGACGTGACCATAAGAACTAATGTCAAAATAACGTCAGTGTTTTAAATCTACCGACTTGCTGTTTCTCATTACTCATTTTGAATGTTCCATCCCAAAAAGTTCCATACTTTACGATCCCTTGCAAGAATCTCCAATTTTAAAGATCGCCCCCCCCAAACCAGAAAGTTTTTTCTTCATATGAAAAACACAGTTTTGCAGGAAAAATAACAAGATTGCTTTCGAAAAATCGTCGCTGGGCGGGGCAAGTTCGTAGCGCGTATCACGAAGCAGCTTTTTATTTCAAAAAGAAGCGCGGCTTCGCGGTTCCTTGTCCTAGAGGGACGCGTTGTTTTTCTTTCGTGCTCCTGCGGACCACTACACTACACTACACGACAAACCTTTTCAGATATAAAAAATTGTACAAGTAATAACGATTTCCAGTTATATTTTTCCAAGTATCACCTGCATTTATGATTGACAAAGCCTGAAACTCACTCGATACAATTTACAATACTGTTCAAACCAAATTATCCCATGTTTTATAGTTTTTCGGGTGCGGCTAATAATTTGCCCACAAAAACGGCAATTTTCAGAGTCTTTTGAATTTTTGTCCATAATCAACCCACCCTGTACATAATTGAAAAAAATTCGGAAATAGAAGTTATAGCCCTAGATCTCCCACGTTTCCTGCTCCAAGAATTTTTCCAACAGAGTAAATCGTTTTCGAGAAAATATTTTTTTTCTGAAACTATTCAGTTCGCCGTAATTGTCAATGACGTCATGGCGACTAGACAAAGCGCGAGGAATAGTGATTTTCAAATTTCTCGAGCAGCGTATGTGATATACGAAAACCGTAAATAGAAAACTTGTAGATCTTGATGCTGCTTATAATACTGTTTAAACCAACCAATATTTTTTACGAACTTTAATTTATTGTCTTTTAGTTTTTTCTCCATAACTGAAAAAAACTGATATAAAAGATATAGCTCCGGATCTCCCGTGTTTCTGCATTCTAAAATCTTGCCGATCAGTTGAATAGTTTTTGAGAAAATCATGTTTTCCAGGAAGCCAAAATAACCAATGTGTGTGATATTGATTGCGCATAATTTTTTGTTTAGATGTGGACAGAGACTTTTACTTTTCTACTTAATTTGAAGTTGATTATATCCTCCTAATTATTTTTTTTTATTAAAAGAGGAGGTCAATTTTTCGTTTTTTGCGAATTCCGGACATACCCTGTATATTTTTAAAAATGACCAAGAATGAAGGTTTATAGCAGCGGACCTGGCGGATCTCTTCGCCGAGTAACTTTTACAATCGCATAATCGGTTTTCGAGAAATGACCTTTTTCTTAGACCCTTGCAAAACGTGATTATATATTTTTTAAATACTTCCCGACCCCCCATCCCCAATTTCAATAGGTTCCGTTAGGGGACGAAACGCTATTTGCCAAATTTGAAGTCAGCTTGAAAATTTCGGACACTTATCGTGTCAAACAGTCAAAAGTCGCAAAAAGAAGATGGCCGCCGAAGTTTGACAGCGGCCATTTCTACATATCTTATGCACCTTGTAGATAATTGAAAAGGAACAAAGCTGAAGCGCCTAGTTCAAACCGGTCGGAAGCTATCGTCCAAAAACCCTGGAACAGAGAACAGACAGACAGAAAAAAATTTTTTGGACGCTGATCATTTCTGGATCAACGACGGACCTCTAGAACCTACCCTTACCGAGACCCCGAAAGTAACAAGCGATTGGAAACCAACATTACAAAAAAAGAAAAAATTGAAAAATCATACAATCACGTTAATTTAATAAATCAAATGTCCATAATAATTTTGCATATAAAAAAAGAAACGAAGGACAAATAGTAATCAACGTACACAATAATTACTCATAATTCAATTAATTGGATAAATACAAGCGATGATAATCGTTAGCTCCAAAAGCGCAATTGCATTTTGGGCATTTTCTTTGCCTGGTCTCATACCTCGTCTTAAGACAATCGTAGCAGAAAACGTGAAAGCATTTTGACAAAACCGCATCCTTCCGCTTAACTTTGCACGACTGACACGTCAACGTTTCCTTATATTCTCGAATTTCCTCCATCATAACTTCATCCAAAGTGGTTCCGGCCAATTCCATCTTTTTCATTCTTTCGGCCTTGCGTTTTAGCTGCGCTATCTCCTCCTGAAGTCTCTTTGTTTTGTAAGCTTCCGCTTCCAGAGAACTCGTTTTCTCTGCTACAACCTGTTGGGCTTCCTTCATTTGCGAATGGTACTTTTCTGTAGAAAAAAAAACGCAACAATAAGTCATTCAGAAGTGTGAGAAATTTTAAGCTAAAACATTTTAAAAAATAAAGTTTATGAAACAAGTCTTAAAGCAAATTGACAAAAAAAATTACCTAAGTGCAGTTTCAAGTCGGCTGCCGATTGGGCCGACTCAATTGCTTTCCTTTTATGCATCTCCATGGCCTGTTGTCGTAACTGTAGCTCCTTCTCTACGGTCGCCAAAGTATTTTGCAAAATCCGTTCCTTTTCCTCGAGCTTTCGCACCACTATGTTGGCCGCTTCAACTTGCGTTGTGAGTGTGCCGACCTTCAAGACAACATGAAAATAATAAAACCATCGTCAACGATTTTTAAACCGTCAGTTTACCTGCTCTTTTAGCACATCTTTTTCTTCCCGAGCTAACTTGTGCAGCTGATTTGATTTGATCCTTTCGGACATGAGCTTGAAATTTGCATCGTCTTTTTCTCTTAACTGCTGTATTAATCTTGAATTTTGCTCCTAGAAAGTTTCCGAACATTATTTTCAGGAAATCATTAAAACTTTTTAATAATTTTTTGGGCATATTGATCCATAATCCAATACAATTTCTTTTAATGGGGCCCCAGTAGCAAACAAAGTTATATTTTATGCAATAATAATTACTACTAATTTGAAAAATTTCAACTATGACGAAAAAAACTATTATTTATTTTATTCTTTTTACAAATAATTATAATTTATACACTTGTTTGTTTATTTATGGTTATAAGTATAACCAATTAGTAGTATTGAAACAAGTGAAGAAATTATTTTTAGCATTGTTGGCTCAATATTTTTGTTGCTTCTTTGTGGCCTTTAATGTAGAACAGAAAAAGTCATAAAATTACCTGCATATCTTCAAAAGCTTGTCCAGTCACCTCCATTTCATTAAGTAAAGCTTCCTCCTCATGAGATCCTACGAAAGGTCTCATTTGGTGTAATCCCGCGCCCCCCCAACTACCATCGTTTGGTTTCTGAGATTGCACCTGCTTCTGAAGCTCATACTTTTGTTCCTCCAACTGTTTAATTTTTTTTAAAGCTTCATCCTCTGCCAACTTCCGCTTGTCGTCCCTCTTGTTATCCTAAAACAAAATTTTGGCACTTAAAATACTAATTACTATGTGAATTTTCATCAATCAATTTAATTTTCATAGCCGTTAACTGTTTAAATATTTTTCTGTTTTAATGCACTTCATATGCTACATATTTTCAATTCTTGTTTCCGCCTTTTAGTTTATTTTTTATTTATGTATGTCCTTAATGAACTTCAAAAATAAAAATAAAATGTTTTATAAAAACAAAATAACTAATTTTACTCACTTTTCTTACCTGCATTTTCTTCAGTTGCTGCCTCAGTTCATCTAAATCAGTACGTAGTTTCTTTTCAGCAGCCATTAACTGCACTTTATCCCTCTGCTCTTTGCTGACACCCTTATACATATCAAGCAATAGCTTCATCTCCTTTTGCTCGTTTAACGCTTTCCTAAAACATATAATTATGAAAAACACAAAGCGCAACATAAAAAGGTCAAGCTTACTTCAATTGATTCTTCAAATCCCTAATCATATCATTTTCAGCAATCTTAGCTTCTTTAGCTCTTTGAGCATCGCGCTGTTCCTTCTCACTTTTTGGCGTTTGATCCTTCTTCACCTGATTCTTGTCCTGCTTATTCGAATCTTTTTTTTCGCCAGATTGATCTCCTTGACCTTCCCCAGATTGCTGCAAATATCTAACACTACAGCTGTTATAAACGAATGTATTTTCATCAATTTACCTCAGTCTCTTCTTCCTTCTTTTCTCCACTCAATGATCCCTCTTCTTTAACTTGCGCGCCTCCTTCCTCTTTAATGTCACTCTCTTCTTTAATTTCCTCTTTCTTGATGTTGTCTTTGGAGTCCTGCTGGGCGCCCTGAGCTTGGGAAAGCTTGTTTTGTAATTCCTCAATCTCTTTCCTCAACTTGGGAAGTTCAACATTTGCTTCCTTATACTTTCTTTTATATCGGTGCACCTCGCCTTTCAACTGCTGGGTATTATTCTGCAATGAAGTGATCAAATGCCTCATTTCTCGGTTAATTGGACCCGTTTGCTCATTGGCAGCTAAATTCTGCTCAAATTCGATTCTCAACATTTCATATTCCTTTCTTAGTTGAGCAAGGAAATCTTCTAACTGCATCACCTCCTGGCGCAGCTTTTTCTGAGCAATTAGTTCTTCACTCTAAAAAAAAAAGGGTATTCGACAAACAGAAAATACAAAATAAAAATGTATTTTTTAAAATTATGCGAAAAAAAATTATTTGTATGCAGACGATTTCAATATAAGTATGCGTTTTAAATTTTTTTATTTCATAATTGAACTTGAACTCTTATTAAAAGGGTTACAATTAATATCCTCCATGAAACATCAACTAAATATTCCTAGGACACTTAATTATTTGCTGACGTGTTTTATCCTCAATGAAAGTTCACTTCCAAGTTTAATGTGTCCTGTATAAATAGCTCACAACTTTATAGTCATATTAACGTAAATCACTTGTAAAAATGAAAAGAAATCTAACTAAAAAATAAATATGCTATTTGACAACAAGAGAATACAAACTAAGAATGATCTTTGTAAAATTATACGAAACATATTTCAGTGACAAGAACAAAAATAAATAACCAAAAATGGAGAAGTCCACCTTGCAAAAAATTATTTGTATGTATTCCAAAATTGCTTGTAAAAATTCTAATGGGGTGAATAATTCCTGAGTTTATTTGGTAATTCAGGGGTATTATGAATGTTAAGATTTTATCAATACTGTTCTGTTGATGCCACTACCGGCTGTCTTTTAGAATTTTGTTTAAATAATACAAATAATTTTAATATTACAAAGCGGCAAGAAACATGAAGTACCCAATCTGAATTGTTTTTCTTCATGTGATAGCAAGTGAAGGAAAGTTAACTCCCTTTGAAGTGTTTATTTAACCAAGATCACTTGTAAAAATGAGGATATCAGTAACCATTGTTTTCCTGTATCAAGTTTACCTCCATCATTTCAATGTTACGCAGATGAGCGTTTTTGCTAGTTTGCAGTTGCTGCCGTGCCTCATCCAATTGCGTTTTGAGTTGCATTGATTCATTATATAGAACCGAAAACTGAGATTGAAGACACTTGTATTCGGTGGTCTCAACAATAACACTTTCTGGCAGTTGCCGGATCTACAAAATAGGAACTGGTTATTCAACAAATACACACACCAAAATAGCAAAAACCCACGTCCATTTTCAACTTTTCAACCTCTTTAAGAGTTTCTCTATGGGTCTGATGTAATTTATCAAGTTCTTGCAATCGATTGTTGGCCATTTCTTTATATTCTTCCACCTCTTTCATGAGATCTTCCAATTTGGCTTGAGAAACGCTACTCTGCACAACAGGTTTCTGTTGAGCACCCTTCTCGGGATCTCCGTGCAACTGATGGTAAGCTTTAATTTTCTCCACAGCTTCAGCCAAGTGAGTTTCCAATTTGTCATTTCTGTTTCTAACTTTTTCCAACTCATATTGCAAATCATCAATTTGATTTTTCAGTTCTGCTGTTTCAGTTTCTTTTGCTGTGACTGAATCTTGCAATTCAGCAACTTTTAAGCTATTGGTATGGTATTTCTCATGTAAGGAGGTATGCAGTGCCTGCAGTTTTCGGTTTTCTTCCTGAAGCTGTATGTTTGTTTGGCGAATTACTTCATCAACCGAAGGTGCATCCTCTAAAACGAAACATATTTCGAAATATAAATAGATGTCACTGCCAGGTAATAACTTATTAAGTATTGGTTAATTTATACTACATATAAATTACTTTATCGGTGAAACTTACGTCCTTCAAGTTCCCCTTTAAGAGCCAATGTTATTTTCTCATTCCTTTGCATTAAACGATCAAAAGCTTGGATAACTTTTGCTACAGCCCTTCTTGACACTTGAACCCGATTTGCTAATTTATCATTCAGTTCATCCTTATCCCAAGTTGATAGTTGCATAAGAAATGAAGTAGTAGCTTCATTCTCATCTAGAAGTAAAATAATCAACAACCAATAGTGTTTTCCAATTGACATTCCAACATTACTTTTATTTTCAGATTCGTCGGCAGTTTCTGCATCAAATCTTTGTAAAAGGATTCTAATATCTTCATTTAATTGGTTCCAGTAGCGGTTTACAACATTGAGCATGGCATCATCTTGCGTTTGTCTTTTTTCCAACTGCTCTATTCTTTGTCTCAACTCCTGTTCTGTTCTATACCGTTGTTCTATTCTCTAAAATGCGTTTACAATTAAGTATGAGTTGTATCTTAATTTATTGCTACAGCTTACCTGTGCTAACTTTTTATTTTGAAACTGAAGCACTTTTATATCCATTTCTTCTAATGTGGAAACGGGGCCTATAAGATGTGGCTCAAAGTGAATCTTTTTGATTGGGGGCTGCCCCGAGCTGGCGCCCCCATCTTCAGGATATCTTTTAGACATTCCGGCGAACTAAGAAGAAACAAAATTAATTAAACTCTACTATCTAGAATGACTATTATTACTTGTATGCCTTATCCTGGAAACCAATTTTACTCTGTCAAGAAAATGTATAATTTATATGCCAACACATGGTTGGTGTACACCGGTAAAAAAAGCAATAGTCAAAAAAATGTAAAAGTTGGGAACTGCCAAAACTCCAAGATATTTAGATATTTGCTGCACTTTTGTTTTGACATTCGGTAATGGTGCAGCGTTGCCCGGTCACAAGATTTTTCGTTGCCATTAATTTATAATTTTATCATTGAGCCTTGAGTACTTGACTCAACGTATTTATTTAATTTAACAACTGCATTAATTTAATTTAATTTAAAAAGTTTCGTTACATATACAAATTCTAAAATAAAGTAAAGTGGTATAGGAAGTGTGCAACATTAAAAAAAGATTATATCAATTAGTATAGCAGTATGTATATTACGTCTATGTTTCTTATACGTTAAATAATTAGATCATGTGTTGAAACTTTATTGTGATTACATAAATTTCCGGGACTTCCAGAAATTTGGATTGCATTAACTACAACCCTACCATTTAACTCTAAAATTTGGCAACAGGGCCTAATCAAGTAGTTCTGTTGTCTGTGAATATTTTCAGACTAAATACAAGATGGAGAAACGTTGTTTGGTTAAAATAATAATATTTGTTATAGGTAGGTCTCGGATATAAATTATGAATGTTACCTAAGCCGTGTGAGGTATGTAGGTTTTTTGAACCAGAAAAAAGGAAAACGCCTACTTAAATATTGCAAAAAAGTTAAGTAGGACTACCGAATTTTCATTGCTATTATAATCACTCAGAGAAATACTAGAACAAAAAAACTTTTCTAATCAATATTTTTTATTCATTTTAAAATTTGATTCAAACAGGTCTCGCCCCGATGGTAGTTTATGAGTACTTCTGAATTAATTGATTTCCAGATTTGCAAAATTTATTAAAATTCGACTCAAAATAGTGAAACTTATAGCAGAATATTTTCAATTACCTGAACCTCGTCCAATTTTTATTTATCTCTAAGAAGAGTGGTTCAAACAAAAAACAATTGTTTTTAAACCGCCGTTTTAAAGAAATACTGCTGGTCGAAGATATGGCGACAGAACCCATTAGGTCAAGTTAACAACATAATCTAGCATAGGCAAATTTAGATGTACATAAATGCAAAACATTGTTTTTTTACAATAGGTACCCTATGGGTGCAATAGTCAAAACTTGTAAAAGCTTCTTCAAAATTGCTAAAGAAATGAGATTAAAACATTATTTCACTATAAATAAAATACACCTACAGTAGAATCCCAACCACTATTATCAGGATTATTTAAACCCATCGTTGTGACGACTGAAACATAACGACCGAAAATAGTCCGAGAAACACGCTCCCTTTATGCTATTCGGCTAGATTTAGATATCGCCACCATAGCTTACCAGCTACATTATTTGTTACCGCCCGAATTCGAGCTAATTTAAGTTAAATCGCATAAGTATGTCGAAATGCAGAAATCTTTGGCAATATGGCAACAACGTACATTCCTTGTCTCGCGGCTCGTCGATTCCAACGGTTTGGACATGGTTTGGGCGTGTTTTTGTCATCTCTTGATATTTTTCGATATCGGGATACTCGTACTTTGACAACACAACTTTGACTACAAATTTCATCAAATGTTCCATGAAAGGCTACAAAGAGTTAAAAGAAATGTACACCATGTTGCAAAAAGAATTCGCTTTTACTTTATTATCAGGGATTCGTTAATGATGGAACAGCATTAAGAAAAAATAATTACTATAATTGGTATACAGTTTTGCTTCATCGTTTGCATTAGGTATCATATTTTTAATCAGAAGAGGCACAACTGACTTGAATGAAAGCAATATTTGCCTGAGGAACCTAAATAAGATGAATCGTATTTATTAAAACAAAATACGGACCTTAATCTTTTAACACTATAATAAAGATTCTTGTTCTAGATTTATATATGGGTTATTTATGGTACGATTGATTTAAATTTTATGTCACATGAGAAAGCCCCGAAAATTTCTACGCAGGGGCACACCTACAAGCTGCAGCGAGATACCAGCTTTCAATGCTGCATAACAGAAAATTCCTCGCGCTATATGCTGACGCACAATCAGAGGGAAATACGGAAACACGAAGTTTTTCAAATGATAAAACAATTTTATTGCTATAGCCACCTCTGAAATTCGTATCGAAGATATAATGCAAATTTGTTTAATGATACATCGTTATACGGCAATTAACTTTGCTTAAGACGACGCTATGCCGGGTATCGGGTGAAACGCAGGCAGAAAGTAATGTTCCTATGATGCGTCATGAATCGGCTCGCCAAATCTATTAATCAGCCGCAGAGCTCAGTCAGGTTTTCGCTGTGTCGTCAAAGCGATAACGATCTTTTATCACCGCAGAGTAAAGTCAGACCGAGAACAAAACCTTCTTCTGCACTGGGTATCCATATCCAAGGCAACAAGAAATCCCACCATACTTCGAACTGTTTGTGCCACAACTGCAACAACGGAGCGACGAGTGAAGCGGATAAGTGGGGAGAGCCGAGGACTATTGAGTCGAGTCGGCTGATTGTCACGTTGTAAACATCTTTCTTGCTTGAATTCTAGGCCGTATTAGCCTAATTTGGTCTTGATCATCTTAGAAATAGCTCGTACGATGACGTAACAGATGTAGTGATTCTTGTTTCATCGAAATTGAGTGTAGTGCTAACGAGAAACAGCATGGCAGAGTCGAGGCAGGACAATTTTCAGTCGTGTTGCAGGCTGTGCCTCTCCGACCGGCAAGAAACTTTTAAGTCTGTTTTCGACGCCTCTCTGAATCACAAAGACTTGCCGCAAAAGATAATGCAATTTGTATCCATCGAGGTAAGTCGTCGTGCCTTTCTTGTCTCTTAAATGTTATTAGAGTGCCTTGATATTAGTTAAAATTCTCATCCGAAATACTGCATCGCATGCGATATTCCACCCATGTTGGGAACCGGCCGTAAAGGCGAAAGTCTCGTAAAGAACGCGTTCAATGTCGACCTTATTGCGTACTTGGCCAACTGTTGCAAGTCTACGCTGGCTTCGTCGTTGAAGTGAATGGAAAGATGGCCGCACATGTTCGTGCCGATAAATTTGATATTGGCGTTCAATACTGACGGCGTTTTTCGCGTAATTCCTCTTTAATATTCATTGGTGATGTAAAATATTTTCGTTTCATGTCTGCAGAGATGTACTTTTTAGATGTTATCGTGACTTGATCAGGTCTCATTGAGAGCTACGTCACCACACAGTCATTAATATACAAACATTTTAATGAGTGATACATTTTTATGGCGGTTTTTTGTGTAGAAGATTGGACGAATCTAATTAGAGAGTGGGATGAATCTTTACGTATTGTGTGGGTGATTGAACAATTCTAGAAGAGGTGGAATTCTGTTTCTTTGTTTTGCTTTCAGTTTGTTGTTTATTAATCTTATGAAACACTACAGCGGGGTTACTTTTTTGGAAAATTTCATGCAAATTAAATCTGGATTCTATTAATATTTGAATTTTTCCGACCCATAAGGAGGTGCCCTGCCTATAGTATAGCTGTTAAATTACATGACATATTTGATTCACGTGACGGTATCACGATCAATAAATTCCAGCATGAATTCAACGATTCACGGTTTATTATGTATGAAATTTCATCTTTAGAATTTTGTAGGTTTCTGATTAAAATATCCTTTTGTATCTATTATATGAGTTATAATAACATTGAAGTTATTTTGAGGTTGGAAATATATAGGTATAAATAAACTTGTACTACAGCGAGCACGAAATGGCTAACAGCACCGGATGCAACGAAATTGTTAACATGCAATTTATTGGCAAAACTTTGATTTAGGAGCACCGCTATATTTAAAAGATTTTTAATACCCTCCTGCGTAGTTATTTACTGTGTGCAACAAAAATAAGTGTCCTGTGGATTGGATTGAGTATGATCATTGCTTTATTGCTTCGAATGAACTAGAAACATTTTGTCACCGTAACAGAAAAAAATAACTTAATTTCAAATTTTAATTAAAACATAGAAACAAAAAAATAAAAGCTCGATGCAGCTTGCCAAAAAACACTCCGCATCTCAAGTTTTCTTCAAAATTTTAATGTTTAACAAAGAGTTTTAGTTCCTCTTGCATTAATAAATGGGCGTCAGTTTTTTTGCATATTTGATATCTTCAAAACGGATCCATAAAATTTACTCTCACGGAAACGTATACACGTATGACAACGTCAGCATAAACCTCGAGGATAAGCGCATGCAAAATTTACAAACTTCGATCGTTGAGGCGAATACATATTATCGGTCATTTTTGCATTGCACCTTGTGGTTCATGAAAAGTGGTAAAAAGCAGTAATTTAAGAATAAAACGCAAAATCATAAGGATTATGTGCAGGTACGTAATATATCACGATATCAAAGAAAAATAACGTAGAAATTTGAAATATAATAAATGCCTAACAATAATAAAAGCATATGTAATAAAAGCATAAAAATAAAAATAAGGGAAACTAAGCAAAACAAAATAAATGAAAAATATAGGACTGAGATATTTGATAGATGATGAAAGGAAGGGTGAAAACTTTTCAACAAATAAAATATTATTTTTTGATAGTAATAGTGGTAATAATAGTAATAATTTGCTAGTCAAAATTTTTTGACATCTTTAATTTCCAAACTAGACCAACTAAAGCTTATAGGCTATTTTAGAAATGTGTAATAAAATGGAAAATTCCGTCCAGTTCCTCTCAATTTCGGTATCGGACCAACAAATAGATTTTGTTTTTGTTAATTAGAACGAAGAGGCGATGACAGTTCCTTAGATGACGAAGACTATTAAGATGTATAATTTTATTTAATTAAAAATAATGGTGCTTCATAATATGTACATTAATGCCCATTTTTTTATTGTGTCGTTGGCCTTTTTGAGATATACTTTAATGTTTTTGAATTCTTACCGGTATTATTGATAATTGAGATAAAACGGCTCTTATTGCTCGTTCTCATTACTTCCAACTTTTCTCAGTCATGTTGGCGATAGTTTTCTTGTTTCCGTTTTGCGTTCCTAGCCGACACGCACCATCATACTTCCACACATCTGATCTACGATATTAGTTTGTAGCTTCCAAAATAGTGATAGGTAATGGACATGAGTTACGGTACTAAGAAAGGGCAGTGAATAAATTATTTTTTTTTTAATTAGTTATACGGACGTATTTATTTCCCTTCTTTATGTTCTGCCTTTCCAAACACGTGCTCTGTAATGGTAATTTTATTTTTGCCTCTTTTCTTGAACACGAACGACTTCAAAGACTAATATTTAAAAAATCCATTGTCGAGAGTAATGATCCGATAATGACTTTTTAAATAAATTATAATAAAATTTAATTATAATTATAAAGAAATGTAGTTCAGTAATGCAACAGAGGGTTCTGACGAAAAAAATTGGATGAAGTTCTGTAATTCATTCCAAATTGCTGCTGGAAATTCAACGTTTAACAAAAAACTCTTTCTTTCGGATCTGCGGTCAACAATTAAGAGGTAGAACTAGATATTCAAAATAGATACAGGATCGGCTTGAAAATATTTATCTATATATTTTATTTCTTATTAAAAATGTGTTTCACTTGGGCCTATTCTTTATATTATAGTACTCCAAATAGGTTTAGGTATGAAAAAAAAATCTGAATTACCAAAGAAACTTCCGCAGGCTGTGGGACTTGTAGGTAGCCTCAGGTATTGATTGTCTCGTTGATGACCGAAAGGATATTAATAATATTTGAAAAAATACTCGTTAGAATTATTTTTGTCATTTTGACGCAAATAGAAGTCTATAATATCAATTTACATTTCGAGTATTCTATATGTGTAAAAAAAAACACTTTTTTAGATTTTGGACAGTGATAGATTATCAATACACATATGTGACGAATGTATAACACGGCTAGAGGCATGGAATACGTATAAAAACCAGTGTCTCCAAAATCAAAGCATTCTGATAGAATGGTTAAAAAAATCTACGAACGTCAATGATATATCCGATTCAGTAAGTTTTAATAAACCCCGTGTGCGAATACACGATTTAAAAAAAAATATTTTTAGCATGTCCATATAAAAACGGAACCATCTGATGAACACGAGCCCGATATAATTAATCCTGACCTATTATTACAACCTAAACTCGAGCCTTTAGATATAAGTTCTGTGGACGAAGACTACAACGATCTGCCTCCGCCATTAACTCCTCACAACCCAGAGGAACATGATTTTTTGGAAAACGGAGAGGAAACCATTCAAGGTAGCAATTTCAGAAGTAATTCTAAAAAATTACACACTTTACGAATATGTACTGTTTTAGATGACGGAAAAACGTGCCTCCAGTGCAATAAATCTTTTAGCTCGGTCGCAAATAGAAAAAGACACGAGCAACACGCTCACAAAAGTGCATTTAAAAGGTCTCAGATGTGCGAAATTCGACCTGCAGTGGACGTTTCGCTAAATAATACTTCTTCAGAAAATACCAAGGCCGGTATGTATAAAATAAATCCCGATGCAAATGGCCTTTTCATACCGCGTTTTAGATCCGACATTAGACGAATCATCTCAAGACAGTCAGTCGCAAAATTCGGAAGAGTCGACAATCGAACCGTCCTCCCAAGATAATCAACAAAAAATTGAATTCGCCGCTGGGTTAAAGCTATTCCAGAAAGATTCGGCACCGATCGAGTTCGAAGCCCTTTCCAAAATCGAATTGAGTTACTTGGAGAAATGCAAGGCAATGGTCGCAATGTATAAAACGTTGAAATGCGCTTGTCACAAAATTCAGCACGCCAGTTTGAGGGGACTTTTATCCCATTTGCGTGCATTACGGATTTGGTTCCCCTTATTTACCTGTTATCATTGCATGATTTCTTTCACCGATCGTTCGACGTTCACCAGGCATCACGTGAGATGCAGCAAAAAGCAATTGGAGACCCTAACGAAACTCTCTAATCTTAAGAAAAGGAGCGAAATCAAAACGAGATTGTATCAGAATTTCAAATGCGTTCGGTGTAAATTCATGTACAGCTTCCACGAAGACTACTGCCAGCACGTAAATGAGGACCACGGTTCTGGTGATCCTCCGTTCTACTGCTCGTGTAGAAACGCATTCGACAGTGCCGACGACTATAAGCGACACGTCTATGACTCGTGTTTGATCTCTTACTATTGCGACCTTTGTTTCGAAACGTTTACCTCACTTGACGACTTTCAAAGCCACGCCCAAGAAATGCACGACAATTCCGAGGGTTTCGTTCTTCTTCAGGACGATAACTACACCAAAAGACCCAAGCACACACCCGCTGCTTCTACTAGACACAATAATGACCAATCGCTCGTCGTTACAGGTAAGCGCAAGTATAAACTAAAACAAATTCTATTCCGCATCTGTTGCTATGTGATATCATCAATGTTTTCAATGTATAGTGCTTTCACAGTGGTTTTGACTAGTTAATTTACATTACTAGTGGTATGTTCCGGACAAGCTAAAACCATCTATCTGTGAAAGCACTATAACAAGGAAAAGAATACGTAATATTTTGATTTTACTTATATATCTGTATTTTTTTTAAATATTTGCTGAAGGCAAAATTTTGCCGCTACATTTACGATAAGTTGCTAGAAATTCGTGTTATTCGTTTTAGGCAAAAGGGAACGTAGACAGTCCTCGAAAAATCCACCGAGTATGACTACGGCAGACTTCGAGGAAAATTGCAAAGATATCCCAACTAAACTTCTTATCAACACGATTGTTCCTCAATCGGATAAGGACCCCAAAGCTCCAGCCAAGTGCCCGATATGCCAAAAGGAATATTCCAATACTTACAATATGGTGCGCCATTACAGGACCCATATAGATAAAGACCAAGTAGTGGCCGCCAACCTCTCAGACGACGCAAACTCTTCGTATTATTCTTGCCCAGACTGTGGCGGAATGTTTGCAAACGAAGAGTGGGTACAGCATATACAGGAGAACCACGAACCTCAAACGTGCACGGAATGCGAAAAGACTTTCCAATTCCAAACGGAACTGGATCAACATCGCAGCGTTCATTTAAATTTGAAGATTAGCAGAGATTCAAAGACCCATTCTTACAAAACAACTATGCTGAGTCCCGAAGACGAAGACCAATTGCCCGGCGGGATAATGTTAATGTGTGAATTTTGCGACGCAATGTTCCCTAGTAAAGAAGACCTTAAACAACACAAGATCATGCACGATATGTCGATGGACGAGGACGACGCTCCTATGCTCGAGGTTAACGGCGAATTTGAAGATCTGAAAGACATCAAACTCGACAAATTCGAATGTCTCGAGTGCGACAGACAGTACAGTAGTGCCAAATCTCTTCGGGAGCATAACAAACACGTGCACGGATACATGAAGCAAAGCGAATATCCGAAACAGTGCGATTATTGCGAAAAAGTCTGTACCACCGGCGCGGCTCTATTTCTTCACAAGCAAATGCACGAACGTATGATGTTGGGAGATTTTAAGAAAGCTAAAGCGGCACCCGTTAAAGCGCGTAAGAAAAGTACCACCCTCGAGGAGGAGGAGGAGGAATCTTATCACACCTGCAAACGTTGCTTTAAGGTGTTTTCGTCCAAGTATAATCTGAAAGCTCACATGAAATGTCACGGGATAAGTCCTCCCAAGAAAGGATCGAAGAGGCTGACTTGCGATATATGTAAAGTGACGTTTGACAACGACGACGAGCTGATCGAGCACAAAGAATTAGAACACGGTATGAATTTGGACGAGATGCCCGACTTGACGAACGAAACGGAGGAGGACACGAAGATGCCTATCGTGTACACGTGCGACGTGTGCGTCATAACTTGCAACTCGAGGGCGGCCCTTAAGAAACACAAAGAGACTCATGCTAAAGAGGGCGCCAAACCGGTCGTTCCAAAGACTAAGAATACCTCGATTTACTGTAAATATTGCAAAATAGCTTTCAACAGCACCATGGAATTAACGAGACACATGCACGTCGAACACGCGGAGTCCGCGAAGCCGAAAGAAGTGCCAGGAGGTGAGAAAAATATTAAACCCTTTAAGTGTCCGATTTGCGGTAAGGGTTTCGCCACTTCGGGAGCAATGACGGCCCACGCGGGTTGGCACAAACGCAGCAAGGGACTCGCAGAAGGCCCCAATACACCCCAGCAGACGATGGCAAACAAAATAAACAAACAAATAAGAGTAATTCAAAAGATCGCAGATGCCGCCGCTAGTAAGCCAAAGAATAACGTCGTATCTGAATTCCGCTGTTCTACTTGTTTGGCCGAACTGCCAAACGACACAGCTTTGCAAATTCATATTCTCGAAAAGCACCGCAGCGTAAACGCCATTATGCTGATACCCCGATGCAACACGTGCAGTCAAGATTTCGAGACTCAAGAGGAATATGACACTCATAAACGTTTCCACGATTTCCTAGAGAGACAAAAGAAACACGATATGCAAAAATCGGAACTGCCACAGGCCGGCGTGGGTTCTGCTAAACCAAAGTTCCCGTGTCAATATTGCAAATCTTCGTTTAGCAGAAGTGACACTCTCAACACCCATATCAAACAGCATCATCAAGAGCACGTGGTCACAGAGTTTAAGTGCAACCAGTGTGACAGGGTATTTGATAAACAAAATTCTTTGAGCATTCATCTGAAAGTCCACGAGAAGCAGAAAGCTATCGGGGGAGGAGGGTCGAAATCTCAGTTTTCTTGTTCGATTTGCAACATGAGGTTCAACTTACCCAAAGATCTGAGGATGCACACCATCAACGCCCATCCGTTTTGAAGGCACGTGTTAGAGTTAACTATTTAGCCAAGAAGCTGAAGATACTTATAGACTGATATGTGTACATATTATTGAAAAAAAAAAAAGTTTATTATACATTAGTTATTTTTCATTTAACAACGTGTAGGTGCTAACTGCAGTCATGATTAGAAATATTTGACATTCCGTTGCCAGAATTTATCATGCACCTCTTGTTTTCTGAATATGTTTATTCCTTTTTTTTTGTTCAACTGTATTAATAAATTTCATAAAGAGTTAAATGTTTTAGATTTTCTTCATTTGCAAAATTGGATAGATTGTAAGTCATGCCAACCTAAATTTAAAAAACAATTGCTGCTGAATTGCTTGAAGAAAAAGACAATTAACCAGATAAAATTTATTTACATGTAAATGGCATTTTAATACATTCTCAAAATATGTATGTGCTTTTATGGAAAGCACGGCATCCGAATTACGAGTAAATTATAAAAGACATCATCTCGCTACATCGATTATTATTGTTAGACAAATTCACAACTTTTCGATAACTGGACGCAAGATAAAGTAATGCTAAAATCATGCTTAACCTACAAGGCTAAAAATACTATAACTTTTTTTTCTTATCATGAAAAGAACAGAATTTTGATTTTTACAAATTTGATTTTAAACACGTTTTGTACTTACTACTGTGCTAAGCAATCAAAAAACGAAATTAGCAAACTTTCATAGTTTTCTGAAAAAAAAGTGGGATTGCTTTCGTCTAAAAAGTCAATTTTCCCCATTCTAAAATAAGGGTAGTCAAGTATGATGGATTTAGTAGGTGAAGAATGAAGGAAGAACATAATCTTTGTAAGAAATAGAAAATTTGTTCTAGTTCCCTCCTTCGGTATAGTGATCAGGCAGTTAACTTAATGACTTTTGACATTTGAACAGTTAGAAAAAAGCTCAATGTCTGTCAAAAAATTACGATTTTTAGTAATTTTTTGCAACTGTGCATTTTTCTTTTTTATTTTTCGCATATTTTTGAAAAAAGCGTAATAATGAGAATAAAAAAAATACCCTTGGTGATGGTCATTCAGAAACAAAAAGCCGGAATACAAGAATTTTGACAACACCGATTGAAGAAATAGAATTGTAGCATTTTTTTAACTTTTTGTAGCATGTGGTTCGATATAAAATTGCGCAACTTTTCTTTAGTTTAACCGGTTTTTACCTTTATCTTTTACACAATGTATAAACCACTAAATACTTAAAATAATATTTAACAACAGTACCATGGTAAATTATTGTTGCCCGATCATATTTCCGTAGAAAACAATCCCACTCCAACTATGAACAAAAATTCAGTGTTAATAGAACCACTTTAGCTTTAAATGTAATTCTACATGAAATAAATAACAACTCGATGTTCTTGACAACCAGATAATCACTTTAACAACCACTTCAACAAAACACTGTCCGTAGCTAGTGCTACATATACTTACCATACGCGTGACTTACTTACACACACATGCGAATTCGGTCATTTATTAAATTTGTAATTCGTTTAATCGATAATATTAGGCAGTGGTATTAATTGTGGGAGCGATTTCAATACCGGAGACGGTCTGCAGGAGCGCAGCGTTCGCATTGCAGTCTGGTGGAGTCGCCAGTGGCATAGACGATGCAGTGACGAAACTCACTTCTTCCAAGTCGCGTTGCAGTTTGCTTAGGGGCGGGCACTGTTGGACCACCGATTGTATGCTTTGAAATACCTGTGCAAAAAAAGTCCAAGGGTTAAATTTGTGAATTTTACGATAGTTAAAAATACTGGAATCAATATGCGAACTAAAAGTTGCTAAACCGAAACAATTTGCCTCTTTATTTAATTTTCCGACACATCAATTTCTCTTCCGTTTCCTCACCGTACCTTTATCCCTCCGATCAGGCAGATCGCTTTTGTCTTTTTGAGCCGTGCTGATCGACTTTTTTTAGTTTTTTTTTGCGATTTTAAAAGACTTGCGACTTTTTTAAAATTGTTTCGTTATCAATGTGTGTGCCTCTTTAAGGAATAAATACAATGACGTGACTTTTTTTGTTATTAGATATTTAAAAAATAATATCTTTGTAATAAAAAAAAAGAATAAAATAATTTAAAGTAAAAAAAAGTGCATTTTGTCATATTTTTTCACATTACGGGATATTAAGAAATTTAAGAAATGAAAAACTCTAATTTACTATGGTATCTTATTAACAAAAAGACATGTGGCGACATTGTAAACGAATGGAAATCAAAAATCACGCGATTAAATTTTTTACCTCTAATGCCTTGTCGATTGCTTCGTACTGTCTCTTGTTTTCAATAACGGCGTCCTTCAGGTTTTCAGACAACACTTGCTTGCTCGCCGAAAACTCGTGACCCAGTTCATTCAAGCACTTTTCCTTTTGAGCTAACTTTTCTTTCAGAACGGGTATCTACGAGAATATAAATTATAACCGACACATGGATATCCTTTAAAAATCCGCTTTACCTCCTTTTGCAAAAGAAAAAGCCTTCCAAGAACTTGAGCAGAAGGCGTTTCCCCAGTTTCGCTCCACCTCTGCATCTCTTTCTCGACCTCGTCCTCCTTTAACTTCATTTCAAGTTCAGCTTTAGCCAAAGCCGTTGAAAGCTCGCAAACGTCTTGATTCAATTTCTGAAAAGACAGTTTTCCAGATTTTCCAATGTATTACGATATAATCGCAACTCACCTCGACCTGTTCCCTCTGATTGTTCAACTCCGTTTTGACGTTGTCTATTTCGTTATTCTTCTTGGTCAACTGATTCATCAGTTCTTTAATCTCGGTCTTTAATCGGGCACCTAAAATCTCCCAGTCCTTAAGCTGCTTCACCACTATTTTGTTCGTCTCTCTATGTTTGTCTATTTGTTCCGCCAAGTTGTCCCTCTGATCTTGCAGTTCGTTCATGCAATCGTCATTTTCCAACTGAATTATCCGTATCACTTTGAGCAGCCTAGTTATAACGTTATCGACTTCTATAACTTGGTCCACGAGCGGGAACGAGGGGAATTTTTCACTCAAAGAATGCACGTCGCTGGTAAACGAGGTGTTCAGACTTCCCGAGTAACTTAAACTGTTGGGCTCCGAATATTGACGGTTAAATATGGCTTGCGAAACGTCCCTCAAACTTTCGCTGTTCGATATTCTGGAGCTTAACATACTTCCATGACCCGACGAAATCATGTTATGCGAGTGACCTACAGGAAATATTTGGAAATGTGGTTCTGCGATAATTTTAGTATCTTTACCATCTGGTACCACAACGTCCTCGAGTACGTGTTCCATCATGAGACACGGCTCGGTTTCTAAATCGAGCATTTCATTAGAAGTACTCTTGTCGGTGCAGGTGTTTTCTCTTCTCACGTCTCGACCAATCGCCGCGTTTCTTATGGCATTTATCACAGCAGAAACAAACGACGATCCTTTACCGTTAGGAGAATTTTTTTGTTCTATGAACAGACGAGCTTTCTCGGGAGTCGACTCAAGACTACTGCCGCTGTTGTTGTAGGCTTCATTGTGATAGATGACGTCCTGAATGAGAAATTAAACGAAATAAATTAACGAAACCGAATTTTCAAGTACAACTACCTCTAGTTCTTGATCCGATATACTGTAAGCTATAACAAGTTCCTCCGCTAAACCATTGAGCCTCTCGATCAAGGAGGAAAGAGCTACAGCCGCTCCAGACACGGAACTTCCCTGGTGGACCAGTAACTCCCTACTTTTTGTCTCGATGCTCCCGATTCGAGCCAACAGTCCGAGATTCTCGATGCGCCTTTGCTCACATAGCTTGGTTAGCTGTTTGGAGTTTTCCTGTTCTTTTTCCAACTCTTCTTCTTTATCCGCGGACAGTTGCTGAAAGTCGGCAGAACAGAAATTAACACTGCTACTCAAGATGTATTGCCTCACCTTAAGTTTTTTAATTTCATTTTCCGCTTCCTTCAAGGCATCCGATATTGTGGTTTTCTCTGCCTGCATAAACTCTTGAAGCTCGATACTTTCTGACTCGAGGTCTTGGTGTTGTTGCAATAAAATTTTCTGAGCGGTTAAGCTCTTATCTAAGTCTATGTGTAAAGATCTGCAGTAACTGTTCAGTCGGGCGATCTCTTCCTCCTGGCGGATCACCACTTGGCTCACATTGCTAAACCTCGATTCCAGCACCATTAGGCTGTCGCTGGAGGAATTGGCATCTAAAACGGGCGAAAAAAAATTAAAATTATAACTCGATTGAAGTGTTGGAAAACATTTTACCAAATGTTTCCTAATTGTAAAGCCGATAGAATTACAAGTACTTAAAAAAATGGTATGCGTTGGGATACATTGGTAATCTAATAATCTCATTCTAATTGTTTTCGTCGACAGCTTATCAGCTTCAGATAGCTTTTAATCAATTGAAACCGTATTATATGACAATGTAACAGAGGCATGTCCAACATTGCTTTGACAAATAAAATTAGGGAGGACTGTGATCGTACCCAGGATATAAAGCGTAATAAAAACACGTCCCGCCTCTTTGAGTGACAACTCGAACGTTTTATGTTGTTATAAATTATTTCCATCCTGAGCAATTTAAGGTATACAGTCGGTAAAAAAAGTGTCCATCACTTACGTTTAATGAAAAGAAAAATATTTCAAGTAAATATCGTCAATCTCATTAAGAGCGATAAAAATAAAATAAAAATCATTTGAAACACTTTATTTAAACGATAAGAAATAAAGCAGTTTTGGTTAGTTTCTTAAAGTCTAATAATTTGCTTTAATAATGGCATTAAGTCATTTTGGAAGACTTAAAACAAGCTTTCTTGTAACTTCTGGCGATATGTTTTCCCACTCTTCTTTTATCTTATTTTTCAGGTCTTCTTTACTCGTAACTTGATGTTGTTTCACTCGCCGCTTTAATTCTTCCCACATGTGCTCTATGGGGTTAACATCGAGAGATTATGGTGATGTATGAAGTTGTTGGCGGACATTATGGATCATATAGTGACGTACAAGAGTAGCAGTGTGTTTAGGATCGTTATCCTGTTGGAATAAACAAAGTCTCTCCAGGTTAAGACCCAAAAAGATTAATTTTTGTTTCGTCACTAAAGATAACGTTTTCCTAAAACTCCCTAGTTTTGTTAATGTGCTCTCGGGCTAATTCCAAACGATTTTTTCGATTTTTTTCCGAAATTAATGGCTTCTTCCTGGCAACGCGGCCGTTAAAACTTGATCGATGTTTCTAATCGTTTGAGGGCTAACATTTTTTGAGAATCTTTCCTGATTTCCTCTGCAAGTTTAGGTTAGCGTCTGTTTTAGAACTAATTCTATTTTTTTTCAAAACAGAAGACTCTTCTAGTGCAAATAACCTCCTGGGACAACCAGAGCGTGGCAGCACTTTATAAGATCAGGTGGATTTGTATTGATTTATTACATACTGTACAGTTTAATGTGATTTTCATAATTATTTTACCAATATCTCTACAGGATTTTTTCTCCCTCGATCATTTTTCTTTGCTATTTCAAAACCACTCAAAAGTGCCGTCAAAAATGAACAAGTCTAACTCACTTGTTTAAGCGAAATTTGATACAAGCTAATTGGATAAAATATTGATAATTAACGGTTCCACATGCAGTTCTGAATAGTGATTTATTAAAGTGTATGGAGACTTATTTGATCTAATTTCGTGCTTACAAAACTGCATTATTTTTTATCGTTCAAATAAAGTGTCTCAAATGATTTTTATTTTATTTTTATTACTCTTAATGGGATTGCCGGTATTTACTTGAAATGTATTTCTCATTAAATGTAAGTGAAAGAAGAAACTAAAAGAAAACTGAAAAAATTCTATGTGTACGGAGACTTTTTTGTAAATTTCAGGATGCATTTAGCTAACAAGGGTCTTTCCAGGATTCGTCTGATGACAAGTGCAATCCAAACTTACCATCACATTCTCCACTCTCCGCCTGTCCCAGTATGGCCAAGACCCTTTGCGAATTGTTTGTCAATTCTTCCCGCAATCCTTCTTTTTCCACCTTCTCCTCCCTTAACCTTTCCTCAGTCTCTTTTAATTTCTCAGTCTGCGCTTTGTGATCATTACGTAACGCCTGGCATTGTTCCGCAAGGCTTTTCAGTTGTTCTTTCATTTTCTCAATATCGCCGGCCGTCATATTAACCTGAACACTTTTCACACAAATGTCCTTGACGGCGGGATCCTTGGGAGCGATAAGCGTCCCACTGAGCGCTTTTTCGATATCGCTCATCGTCAAGGCCGTTTGAACGTTGGTCTCGTGGTAGATTCTCGTTTTCTGTTTCGGTTTCGTTACGTACAGTGAGCTAAACATTTTGGATGGAGTATTTTCTCGTGAGCTTTTTCTTAAAACCGTGGCGTTTAAACTCGGCTCCTTGTTGGACGATTTCTTTCCATCTTTGGGGTTTTCGAGAGATTTCTCTTTCCTCCGGCGAGGTAAGGTGGCGTACTTTTCTATGGTTTTGCTCTCCATTTGGGTAAGCTTCTGCTTGCCGTCTACCGGACCCCGAAGAGATCGCGTCATCAATGGTGCCGGTTTACTATTAACCGAAGGCCACCGTCCGTCATCCGAAGGAGTAGTTTGGGATGTTCGGGTCGGAGGGTTCACGCAGGTGGCGCGAACAGATAGCGATCTTTTAAGGTCCCTTTTGTTTAAATCTAAATTGGCAGGAGTAGGTCGCGTCCTATTATTAGCAGAGGAAGTTTTAGGGCAGTTTCTGGATTGCAATCTGTCCGCTGACCTGAGACGCGACGCCGAGTCGGAAGCTGGAGTGATCGGAGGTTTCGATCGCGAACGCTCTTTAGACGATACGGTAGATTTGCTCTTGGGTTCCGAGGAAGAAGGCTGCTTCTTTTTGGTAGCGGCTAAATTACTCCTTCTGGTGCAACGCGTTTGGGATCCGCTCACCGACGAACTTTCGCTTCCGTTCTCGCTGGTGACGTCCCCGTTTCGTAAAGTGTAATCCTCTAATAACGTAGAGTTTTTTCGCACTAGTATATTGTAGGCCTCTTCGTAATTGGAACAGTAACTAACTATTGACGAGTCGCACGATCGTGCGCCATTGAGAATCTCGCCGTCGTGAGACAGAACGCTAAGCGCTCTGCGATACTCGATCGTTTCGATCACTTCCACGCCACTGTCACTACCCTCGCACGGGGGTTTATTGTCACGGTCTAGGACGTCCAGTTGTTGCCTCTCGATGACCGTTATGTTGGAAGAATTGAAACCGTGTATCGTTGTATCGGCGTCGGTTTCGTCGTCAACAACCAAACCTTTATCGACATCTGGTGCGTTAGTCGACGTAATGACATCGGGCAGCAGCAAACTGCTGTCCGCGTCAACTGAATGCGGAACGATCGGTGGGGGAGGTTCGGTGTCCATGATTTTTTAGCAACGCATCGGACTATTCATTCTGAAACAAAATAGAACAACTATAAATAAGAGTTATTCAAATCGTTGCCAAAATCGATTCCGATTGTGACTTCAGCGGTTAATCAGCGTTATGGTGTCACCATTTAAAACAGAAAAAGTTTTTAATAGACAGCGTCTCATCAGTCATCGACCTAGGTCAATAAATAGTGATCTAAAAATATGGTGCAAATGCAGATGTATATACGAACTGATACACCGCGCTCGGCTTAAACCCGGGGTCATTCTCTAAATACGTTAAATTGCTAATTGCAATTGCATCGCTTCTGGTCTGCTCTAGACTCCCACGAGCATTTGATCTACTTGCTAAACACTCAGTGATTTAAGGGACTGATTATTGTTATATATTATATAATGCATATTATATTGTTATATATTATATAATATTATATATATTATATAATGCAGGTGTTTAAAAATTATAAAATAAATTTTTATCATTAAATTCCACACGCCCATGCTTGATAAAAACACCTAAAACCCGACTTTCTGTTTTTCAATTCGTTTCGTATTGACTATAACTGGCAAATTTATCATTCAGAAATAACCGTCTGCATTAACTTTTAAACTCTTCGAAAATATACCCCATTATAATAAAAAAACGGTTATTACTTTCCCAGTATCTGTTAAACACAAATAAAAAGTTAAAACCTTTAAAATATGCCAAAACTGTGCCGTTGTTCGTTAAGAGTTAAACGATTTCGAAGTTTTCACCACTACCACAAGCGCAAATAAAATAAATTGAGAAACCTCTATTTATTGCGATGACACTTTTTCCCGTGGAAGTACAGGGTACTTTAAAGGTTTGCAGCAGGATTTTTGCAGCCTGTATTTTCATAATTTTGAAAAGATTAAAATAATTCGGAGATAATAGGTACGGGACGTAAAAATTTTATGAAAAAAAGTGTTTTAATGAAACTGAAAAATCGTTCTAAAAGATACCTAAACGAGTCTCCGAATAAACATAATGGTAAGAATTTTAATATGCTCTCAGAGCTAGAGATATTTTTCTAATAAGCTATATAACAAAAAAACGTATCTAGATAATTAAAATTGTAGATCTTTCTTTAAATTTCACCTCGAGGTCCAGTCAAGATGGCCGCTGACAGATCGTCTATAAGTTTGGATGCAGCATTTTTACGGCAGAATTTTCTCAATAGATGCCTAGGTCTCAGAGTCGCTGTTACTAGGTGAAATGAAATGAGGCATCAGCGGAAAATCATTCCCTTCTCTGCGAAAATATCAATGCCTCCTGCGGCGCATCAATTTTTCCCATGGTTTAGGGCACTATATGGTCGAACCCGTAACCCGAAAAGTAAAAATGCTATTGGACTTTATTCAGGATCTCAAATATGCCCATTTCTTGGGGATTATGACTTTTCCTTATACATTAATAGTTCAGTTAGTTAGTTAGGTAAATACATTTTTAAAACTAAACTACGTTTGCCAAGTGTCAACCTATAATAAAAAACAGAAATTCTGCACAAAAAAATTGCATCGTGTATATCAAGAACGAAGATTTTCAACCAATTTGTAAATTGGCCTCTATAAATACATTCGCCGCAAATAAAAAAAAAACAAAACGAACGATCCGCAATGTTTCTTACAAAGGATAGAAACCGGGACAGATTTGGCCAATCCCACGGACAACCTTAACATTGGGAACTATATCGATTGGCGACGGTGGGAGAGGATATATAAACGATTCGATACGGTGGCGGTTACGAGCACGCAAATCATGGCATTAGAGCAACGAGTAAAATTTTATCGATAAATGAAAAGGCTGACGCAAATAGACCGTATAGAATGGGCCGTCCCAAACGTTTAAAAAATAATGGAAAAATCGGCCACTTAAATTCATTTTTATATCACCGGCATCTCTTAGAACGATCCGGCACTTTCGAATACTGTTTTATAACGATGAAAGTAATGATTTAATTCCGCCTTTTATTATAAAAAAACTAAGCATTCGTGAACAATTAAGTGTTACGTGAAAATTGATCGATGAAAGATCAAATTTGAAATATATACGGATTGCTAATTTGCTTGTAATTTACAGTAGATTCTTGACTGTTACTCTTATTAAGGAAATATCTAATAAAACCGCAGAATTTACAATTATTTCAACAGATATAAAATGCTGTGAAACATCAAGGGAAAATTCTAGTGTTATGTGTGTGCATGCCAATTTTATTAAAACTACTTCTTGCTGTTCTATATTTTATGATTGTCGAAAATCCGCAAAAATTACAAGATTATGGTATGGTATGTACAAAATGGTATGTAAAATCCCAGTGGGGTTAAAATCGGTATGTTTAGCGATTAATGTAACTTTCGAAAAAAAAAATCATTTTCTTAAAGTTTGATTAATTCTGCCGAAAAAATGCCTTCTCTTTAACGTTTGGCAGAATTGTATTTTTTTAAATATATATGTGCATCAGTTTTCGAGGGACAGAAATATTTTTAAGATTTTAAGATCGATGAATTGGATCCGTACATATAGAATAGATAAATTAATCACAATAAATATAGACATTTTGCACATAAATTGTGATTTTGATTTGGGTCGTTTTTATTTAGTGTCTGTATAATGTAGTTTAAAAATTACATCATTTTACGTTTTAAAAACACGTGTATTGCTTGCCTGAAACCAAAATACAGTCATGAGCCATTGAATGCGAGACATGGAGGTAGCGCCTCCCTGCAACTAACTAAACCTGTAGGTACTATGTTCCGTTTAGGAAACGGCAAAAAAATAAAAATTAAATTTTGACAACCTGTATCTCAAAAAGCATTTGAAACAACCCAAAATAATTTTCTACAATAACAACACTTGAGAAATCATAATGGGAAATATCGGAACCTTATTCATTAACACTCTGTACTCTGTAAATGCTAAAAACTTTCTAAAACCAAATAATCAGTTAAAGTAATAAAAGTGGAAGTAATTTTGTATAAAATACGTGTATCCATCGCAAATATTCAACGTAAAAATATATCGACGACGAAGTAAAAATACAATTTCCCCAAGCATTAAGTTTCAAATAATCCGTTCTAAAGCGGAGAAACACGATAGTCCGATATCGATTTCCTCAAATAAAAAGAAATTTCAGAATGCAAAATAAATTGACAAGATGTCGCGTTCTATTTAAGCAGTTCTGGATAATCCACGCAATACATATATTTATTTATTTATACAAGCAAGGTTGCTCAATAGACTGCCTAGGGCTGACCAATTATAGAGCAACATGAATTAGAAACAATAACAAAAAAAATATAACGCTAAGGGCAAATAACAAAGCATACGAATACATGCAGAACTATTATACCTGCGTCCCTTTTAATGTTTCATTACTCTACACCATAAAGACACAATCTATAACGAGTTCAATAAGCTGAGGTTTCACCAAATATTGTTCTTCAGCAATTTTCACGAAAATTTCCCAGGGAGTTGGAAATTCAGTGTGGAAAAAATTATATGCATCGAGTTACAACATTATTATATATTAATTCTTTACAATTTTTGAAAATTTTGACGGATAATTTGTTGTCTGGATACTAAGCAATAATAATATATACTATATCTGATTAACCAGTACCTAAGCATGTTGCTTGAATTGTAGAGCACGATATATCGAACGAAGTTAGGTTTGGACAAGACTGACTGCGGCAATAAGGTAAAAACAGTATCTTGACATGTCTATGGGTAACATTAACGTAAATTATATTTCCGGATTGGGAAGAAAACAAATCCCACATCGTATAATCCGTAATCGTTGTTTAATGTCTTAATAAATTTGCTGTATACGGAACATTTTATATGCGCGGTAGACGTTGCAGTATGTTCGTGTGGGAGATAATATTATATACTTATAGGAGGTTATCCCTGTTTTATACCAAAAGCAAAAAACAGCTACTTTACATCTGGATATAAGTAAGAAGAATTTTGTCGTATTCCGCGCCCTACTAAGAAGACACAAACAGACTGATTAAATGTGAACATATTAGTAGAAATCACAACGACAGTGATATTGTTTGCATAAAAGTTTTTTGTGTTAAATTTTGCAACCAATGTTCAAACTTAAATAGAAACACTTACTTTTATCTAGTGCTCCTATTTCAATCGTTACATTTTCCTCGTATTCTAACCTTTCGATATCCATATCTTCTTTCTTTATCTCGTCGATTTGTGTCACCTTTGTTTAAGCAAGCGACAAAACTGATCCGTATTACGTCCGATTCTGTTTGTTAACATGTTAACTATTACTTTTTAACTATTTTTTTACGTTAGGTACATAATGTATAATAATAAAATTTTCGATAGAACTTTCAATAATAAATAATGCTTCGTTTAAGAATAAAAAAAAGGAGAAACGACCTCAACCCACATTACGTGTTGCGATCAATATCAGGTTTAATAAAGCACCAGATAAGGATCTCACGAATATAAGATCACATTTGAAAGACTGTGGGTAATTTAATTAAAATCGTATTGAAAATTGTGACACGCCACCGTCACACTTAAATCAATTTGCGAATCAGCTAAACTTTAATTCAAACTAATTTGAACTTGAAATTCATTAATGTCAATAATCTATCCTCGAATCACTGGGAAATAAAAAAATCTATTGTACACAGCTTCCCAAATTCGTTGCTCCATCCTAAGAACTATTGAACAAACATATTTCTAACCTTATTGGGGTTTAATGAGACATTTAATGACGCAATTTATATTTGGATATTTCCACAATTTTGATAATTACAAGATGATTTTAATCATATTTGAGTTATAACCCCAATACATTCCAAATTTATTCCATTAAATTGTGCTATTTTTTCTCTTTTCAATTATTCACGCAATATTGTGTCAAAAATACAAGGTTTTCAATAAGTCTTATTTCTGAGATATGTGCTGTACCATTCTGGTTACTTAAAATTACTTTCATACTATACACATTGTCCCAATAGTGTAAAAGTAAATGG